ATAGTTTGGGGACATGGCCAGGAGGAACCAGTCCTTGGAGAAGGACATCATGCTTGGAGAAGGGTGGAGGGACAACGCAGGAAAGGAAGACCCCGGATGAGATGGATTGATACAGTAACTGGGGCACTGGGGATAGTGTCAGAATCAGTGAAACTGTCTCAGAACAGGGCAGGCTTTTACAACAACGTAAAGTGAACAATAAGAAGGAAGTACTCATTTCTTAAGATAATCAACTATACAAATCAAAAGGACAGCATCTGTCCAGGAGCCAAGCTCCAAAGGCAGAAAGGGATAGAATAAAAAGAGTAATAGATGGGAAGAGTGTCGTTGTTCTTGTTGTTAGTTACCACTGAATCAAGTATAACCCATCGTGACCCTTTGAACAACAGATCTGAACACAGTTCTATCCTGTGCCATCTTCACTCTTCCTGACACATTACAGCCCATTGTGACAGTCACCATGTCAGTCCACCTGGGCGAGGGCCTTCCTCTCCTTCACTGACCCTCTGCCTTTCTGAACATCATCTCTAAGGGGTAGCCTCTCCTAACAACATGCCTGAAGTATGTGAGGCAAAGCTTTATAATCTTTGCTTCCAAAGAGCACTCTGGCTGCACCCTCTCCAAGGCATATCTGTCTGTTCTTTTAGCAGTCCACGGGATGTTTAGTACTCTTCTCCAACATCACAGCTCAAAGACACCAATTCTTCTTCTGTTATCCTTGTTCACTGTCCTGCTCTCAGATTCATAGCCAGTGGTCAGAAAGATCATGCCCCACCTTAGTCTTCAAACTGCCATTATAACTCCTCAAAAATTTGGAGATGTCCCTACTCTCCATAATAATTTAGACAGTGTTGCTACAGTGTGGATATTGCAATTAATATCATAAAAATAATGTTTGAATGGAAACTAGCTTTTGCTAAACTTTCATTCAAATCACAATTTTAAAAAAGAACAAAAACACCCACAACAAAACAACACCACATGCTTGTAGCAGTTGCAAACAAAACCATCTGATTCAAAGTATCACCATAACTTGGTAATAATGACAGCTCTGACTGGAGAGCATTGTTGTTGTTAAGTGCCATTGAGTTGCAGGCAACTCATAGCAACACTATGAAGGAGAGTCCTCGACGCTTGGGTGCCTTTCATCCTCTCTCCAGGTTCATAGGATTTCTGGAGGCAAGCTATTACGGAAGTGGATGCCACTCCTCCTTCCAAGGAGAGCATTAGAAAGTTAAAAAATAAATTAGCACAAAGTTTTGGCCTTATAAGCATATCCAGACATGTAAGATGCCTTATGAAAAGTACTTTTGTTGTTATAACTACTAAAGGGATCTTTTTAAAATTTTTTATTAATGAATTTTAATAAAAATTTACAGAGACTTTGGATTTCCATTCATTCATTGTTGCACCTTTTTCCCTGCCCAACCTCCCCCCAGTTCACTCTTTTCTTTGAAAAGTAAAATTCTTTCATTGTTATACAATCCCTTCTGCTAAAACATTGTAAAAAAAAGTTTGGGAGAAATTGTAAAATAATTTGAAGATCCAGCTCAAGTAATGCTTCCTAAGTGAGATCTTTTCCTGATCATCCTCATCCTCATCCGCACCAAGGCAGAAGTGTCTGTCCTTGCCTCCTGGACGCCCCATTCTGGCACTCGCACACTGGAGAGTGACCATGTAATTATCGATCTGTCTTCTTCTTCAGACCACATTCTCCCCGGGGAAACAGCCCTCCCCAGTGCTCTCTGTCCCTACGCTGTCTACCTGCACAGGACAGGAGTTCCGAGATTGTGTACTGGATGAATGAATATGGTAATAATCAAGATATAGCCTACCACAAGAAAGGAGAAAGGACTGAGGCAGCCTCTCAACACTTTGCTGCAACTCTCCACTTGGCTATGTCATGCATTCCCTTAAAGAGCCTCTACATAGAGAAATAGCTGGAGCCTAGCCCAACCTTCTGTCACTGCCAAGCATTCTGGGCATACCTCAGGCAGAAGGTATCCCAAAGCTCTCCCCTTTCGGAGAAATGAATCACTTTCTGGCCAGATGGAGTTAGTCCCTGCCTCCCAACCTCTGGCTCCCACTCCCCATCTGGTTCTTTCTCTTCAGTGCCCATGCACATCCAGGCTTCCTCCTGAAGTTTTCCACACATATGTACTCCATCACCATCTCCCCATTTCTGTAGCAATCAGAGTCAACATTTATTAAGTGTTGACCATTTCCCAGGAACTATTGTAAGCAATTTACCTATATTCAGACCCTTAATCCTCACAACAACCATATGGATACTATCATTACGCCCATATTACTTATGAGGACAGTAAGGCAAAGATGTTAAGTAAGTCACTCAGGGTTACACAGCTAGGAAATGATGAAACCAAGTCAGGGATGTACGCAGTCTAATTTACAATCACCCAAGGGAATGTGCACTACTATGATTGTGCCTTACAGATGAGAAAAACCAATCCTTGAGGGGAGGTATCAGTAGGGACATGAAAGAGTGTCTTGTAAGAAGCAGGACAAGGAAGCCAGAAGGCTGAAGAGTATGTGTCTTCTTGACCAGGGACCCAGGAGGAGCAGGGAGGTCGCTGAATCCCATGCCCCACTTTACAACAAGAGTCATGACAAGAAAACGTTGCGAATTATTGGCAAAGCTGAAGCTCAAACTCAGATCTCTGTTCGTACTCAAATTTCTGCTTCAGTGTTATTTCTGCACATTCTCTGATCCTGCACACCGTTGCTCTGGCCCCCTGCCAGCAACCCCACAAAGTGGTTTCAAAAGCCAATGTAGAGCCATTTCCCCAGAGTCCTCTGATTGGGCTAGCTGCTGCTTTCTGCTTTAGGATAATTGCTTTCATAAACTAATTTTAGAGAGATCAACCACTGGATTAGGCCAAAGTTATACCGATAAATACCTAGCGAGGCAATAAAAATCCAGAATGGGACATCCAATTCTATAAATCTGTTACCACTTTCTAATTTGCACCGAGTAGGGGGGAACTCTGTTACTAAATATATAATGAAAAAGGAGAAGCTAAGATAATTTCTTCAAAAATAGCCTCAGATGTACATTTCATTGTCTTTTCCTTCATACCAAGGAAAAGGATATTTCTGGTGTGCTGGGTAAGCCTTTGGAGGTAAGTCAGAGACCTGCAGACAAATATCAGCAGCTTTACATTACAGTTGTAACTCTTTGCATTATCTGATGTTTCTGTATATTAAAAATGGGGAGAAACTCACATATGACCAGGCTCTCATAGAAAATACAACATTTATTTCCTTCTTTTCTTTTTTTTAAATAAATGGCATTTAAAAAAACAGTCTCAGAATTTATCTCATGCCTAACTTCACCAATTCAAATCATATGATTTTATAACCTCCCTCACTCTTGTACTCCATTTATATGAAATTCTTTTCACCTAACTGACCAAAAGTCGCTCAACTGTTTGAATTCTGTCACCATATCTAGCCTGCAAGGACCAAATGACTGTACAAATAGTACAATGCAAGAGAGTGTCTGTTTCAGGGACCACAGATACAGGCGAGTGGGTAGACTCTGCAGGCCCAAATGCAGTGGTCCTCACAATTGCCTCAGCCTTGACCCCATACCAATACCAGTCACCACACCAAGCTAACGTCCACTCATCCTGAAGGTCTCACCTTAAAGCTTATCTCCTAAAAGAGTCCTTCCCATACTCCCTCTTCCACCCAAATCAAATTCCCCTGACATTCTCTCAGTGCACAATATTCTTTTCCTTCAAAGGATGTATCACAATTTATGCCTAAACATTACACGCGCGCGCGTGAGTGGGTAATGAGCATTTGTCTTCCTTACTCAGCTTTAACTTCACGAGGGCAGGTGACAGAATCATCACTGCTCCCTGATGCAATCACAGTGCCCAGGACTGGCAGGTCCTTAAACACTGGACTGAATTTAGTGGATAGACTGTTAGCAACTCAGTCTTCCAAGTATCTCAGCCCTGGAAAAGTGGATGGAAGTTGGTCTGGACAAAAAAAAAAGGATATTTGGTCACTCAAGGGATAGCTATCTCACAATGAATAAACTCATGTGCTTAAAACAACAACAAAAAAAGGAAATGAGGAAAAAAAAAACAACTCATCCCAAACTTTACATTCCACCAATTTACATTAACTCTAATTAAGAATCTCCATCAGTACTCAAAGCCATTGAGCCAGAAACAACTCACAGCTGACCCTCCAGTGAGTTTCCAGGACTGTAAATTGCTTGGGGGAAGATGGTCCATCTTTTTCTCAGGAAGTGGCTGGTGTCTTTGAACTCCCAGAGGCAAAGACTTTGGGTTAGCAGTAGTGATTTGTAGGACTTAAGGGTGGGTCCCCTCTCAATCACCTTTCTATTCCCAGGCAATGCTGATATCAGGATCCCACAGGAAAGATGTGAATGTTTGGGTGGAGTATTATCTTTGCTGGCTCCTCTTTTAAAGGCTCCAGATGGCTGAATGGGGTGGGGTGGGGGTGGGGGGGAACGACGACAGTAAAAGGAGAAAAAGGGCACAGACAACATATTTCACAGCCTCAACCTTCTGAGGCTCAGCCTGGTGACTGGTACCCACAGTGCTCAGGCATTTGGTGAACTAATGTTGAAACAGGAACACATTTTAAAGCCTCACAATCCAGTAGTCAAAATCCCTGAGAGGAGATGATAGCATCATGCAGGCTTCTTGTTCTTCCCCCACCAAGATTTTGAACTGACCTAAGTTACAGACTTCCTCCTCTCCAAGCTCCCTCACAGGTAATGTTGCCTCATGGTCAAGAAAGCGGGTGTCAGAGTCAGACAGGTGTGAGTTTGAGGGTCAGTTCACCCATGTGATCCAAAATGAGTCGCCTGCCCTCTTTGGACCTTCAATTTCCTCTTGAATTACACACTGAGTTGTGTGAGGGTTAAGTGGAACAGTGAATAGAGAACAGTGGGTACTGACTGTGTACTATATTGAGCCATTAGCAGACCTCGGGTTTACCTGGACATTCTCTTCAGTCACCTCGATTTCAGCAGTATAGATGTAGTCAATCAGCTTACTCAGCGTCTGCCCATCCACATCTTTTATTTCAATCTTCTTGGCTTTACTCTCGGACATGTCACCTATAGTTCAAAATCAAAACAAAATGGAGGTGAGCTTGGTGCCTAGGACATGCTTAACTTTCACATGGCCTCCTGCCCTTTCTTGGCAACATAAAATCATGGCCTGTGTTTCAGGAGGTGGGAGGAGGGTCCATGCTCTGAAAAAGGATAAACCAGTTGACATCAAGGTCCCATCAACTTTGGCTCTCTGATCATTTGCAAACCCAAGTTTAAGCATTCCTCCCTCTACCTGCTGCCCATTTCTATTTTGAAAGCATATCACTTGCTGTGAACTTCTATGTTGCTGTTACTTTGTTAGGCAGGATAGAGCCAGATTTGACTTACAGGGACCCAGGGACTCTATGCACAAGGGAACAAAACCCTACCTGGATGTCCTTCATCAAGACTAGCCTCTCCATTAACAAGCCTAAAGCTTCTACATATATGGCCAGGCAAAGTGGGCAAGACACATTTGGTAAACTAACGTTGAAACAGGAACAATTTTTAAAGTCTCACAATCCAGTAGTCAAAATCCCTGAGGTGAGAGGATAGTGTCACGCAGGCTTCTTGTTCTTCCTCCATTAAGATTTTGAATTTATCTGAGTAACACAGACTTTTATATCTGTCCTCAAGGAACACAGGTATATAAAAACATTTATAAACAGAAGTGAGAGGGTGCTCTGGTGGCCAAGTGACAAGAAACTGCACTGCAATTGCAAAGGTGCGCAGTTAGAATCCACCAGACGCTCTGCTGAAGAAGGAGGGGTAATCTCCTCCTGTGCCAGTCGAATCTGACTCGATGGTACACAACAAGAAAAAAACAAAACAAAACACAGAAGTGGGGAAAGCTTAAGAAGAGGTATACACAAATTGTGATAACAAGAACACAGAGTAACATTTATTGAGTGCTATTATGGACAGTCAGCTATGAATCTGTTCCAATTCAATGGCACTTAACAACATTTATGGCCCTTGGGGCTTCAAATGATTACTATGCTCAGCTGCTAAACAAAAGGCTGGAGGTTTGAGTCTACCCAGAGGTGTCTTGGAAGAAAGAGCTGGTGATCCACTTCCAAAAACGGAGCCGATGAAAACACTGTGGAAACATGGTGTCTCCTGAGCTGGAGTCAGTTCAATGACAACAAAATTTCGGCCTGGCACTATACTAACTACACTACCCACTTTATTTTAAACAGCTGCCTCTTTTCATCTTCTCCACAACCCATACTTTTTAGTAATATCCCGAAGGCGTGTTATTCGAGACCACTAACTGTTTCATGGGAGAGGGATGGGCAGTCTCCTCCTGTGCAATTAATTAACTGCCTCTGAAAACCCTGCTGGAAGGTCAGTGATGGGTCATCCCAACTCTTTGGTATACAATGACAACCACCACCCTCATTTTACAGATGAGGAAACTGAAGCACCAGATTAGGCAACTTATTTTGTTGACAGATACACATCCAGGAAGGGACTGAAAGCAGGAAGTCTGATTCTAGCACCCACGCTTGCAACCACTACATTATAGTAAATCTCAAGAAGGTGGAGTTGTTGTGAGTTGCCATCTAGTCAAGCATGACTCATACAAACCCCATAAACAACAGATCCTGAACCCTGTCCTATCCTACACTATGTTAATCAATTCTAACATGCTTGAGCCCATTGCTGCAATCTATCTGGATGAGTCTTCCTCTCCCTCGTCAACCTTCCACCTTTCCAAGCATTAATCCTTTGCCAAGGAATAGCCCCTCCTAACGATTCCCAAGGCACATGAAATGAAGCTTCACCATTTTTGCCTCCAAGGAACACGCTGGCTGCATTTTCTCTAAGACATATCGTTTCTTCTTTGTACAATCCATTCCTTACCCTAGAGTGTGACAAACCCTGCTAACAGATTTGGGAAGGTCACCTACTAACAAATCCCATTGGAAGTTAGAGAGTGTAGAAATGTTCAATAGGCAGCAAAGGAGAATAAGGATGACCTAGAGGTAAAGAGGAAAGTGTTAAAATATGTACTTGGAGACTCGTGAGACTTGTGTGCCTAGTGCATAGAGGAAACAGTGAGGGGAGAGAGCTGGAAGGATAGAGCCCTACAAGTCATACAAATGAATGAAGGCTTTACCATAAGAATAATGAAGCACCATTGAAAGGCTTTAGACAGATAGGGATTTCAAATAAAATTTTGATGCAAAGTGGAAGCTGGTTAGAATGCAGAGAAACAACTGGATAGAAACTCTCACAATAGCCGAAGAAAAAGTGGATGTGGGACTGTGACTCAGGGCAGCAGGACCCCCACATTTCCAAAGTGAGGCCCCTTTAGCCTGATATACACAGCTCACAGGCCAAGTTCATCCAACAAGAGCTGCTGATTTCAGAAAATATGGTGGAAGACAATGTGTCTTTGCAAACCAAAATAAAGGAGAACCTGACTGCAAGAAACAGGGGATTCAGAAGCCCTTGTGTGAATGTGGAGACAGAGCCGGGCGGTTGTTTTCTCTCTGTGGAATGCGTGCACCAGGGCCAAGTAACTAAAGTACAGAATGTGGGCAGAAGACACCCACTCCCAAGCTGCGCGTACCCTACAAGATTCCTCCACCAATCCACAGTCTCATCATGACACAGTTCTAGATCTGAATGGCTCAGGAACAGAGAGGAAAGTGGAGAAAAGCAAATCAAAAATACATTCCAAACCCTGCCTGCTCCCCTCACTGCAAGATCAGGTAGACCAAAAACTCCATTCTGTTTTCTCCTCTCTTTACTGCTGAAAGAAAGTCTCAAGTCATCAGAGAAAGACCTCAACACAAAGAACCTAAAGGCAGGATGAAGAAAGACAGTAGAAACAGAAAAATATGGTACTCATCCCCTCTCCATAAAAGGCAGGCTCTCACTTTCTGTCTCTAAGTTTGCTCCAAGACATATAAACAAAACATGGACATGCTAAGAAATCAAAGTTAAACTTTTATCTCTAAATAGCTACTTTCAAAAATGCATTAATGACAGTTCAGTGGATAATGACATTGCACAAAGTAATCACAGATAACCACTTCTTAGTTTAAGAATTTAAGCCAAAAAAAAAAAAAGACTAATGAAGCCATGAAGGGTAGATGAACTCCTGAAACTGAAACTATAGCCCCGTGATAATCTATAAACCTAAATTAAAAATAACGCCCACAGTCTTCTTAAAACCAAACAGTAGTTTTGTTCAACTAATATAATAGGTCTGCTTCATCCATCATGCTCTTTTAAGAACTCACTATCAAACTGACACAGAAACTTGAAAGATTCCATGGGAGACTTAGGGGACAGTAAGTTTGTTAATGAGAAAGAAATCACTCGGGGGGGTTTGTGGACCAATGAGGGAGTTTTTCTTTTGCTTTTCAAGGAGAGGAGCAAACGGCGGGGTGGGGGGAGAAGGGTGCAACAATGAATGAATGGAATCCCAAAATCTCTGTAGATGTTCATTGAAATGAAAAATAAACAACCTAAATTTAAAAAAAAAAAAAGGAGCAAGAAAGATTATACAACTCTAATATAATCAACCTCCCTCAACTGTATCCATGGAAAACTGTTGAACTGGTGTATGGTGTGCTGTGCATATTTTAAACATTAACAGTAAAATTTGGGAAGAAAAAGAATGCACAACTTGACTTGGAAGAACAGAGAGATTCAGAAGCTCTTATGTGAGTGCAGAAACAGAATCCAGGCTCATTGTGGAATCTGGGAACGGCAACCAGGTCAGGGTTTTATAACTTTGGAGTGAAAAAATGAAAACTCTTGAAATTGTACATAAATGTTCCTTCCTAAATGTCTACAAAAGTTTGAGTGTTTTGGTAGAAGTGAAGGATGGAGATAGCATCATTTTTATCAAATTCGCAGCAGGTAATCTAGAAAAAGGTAAGGCGGAGTTTTCTAGATGTCAGACTTTGGGACATAATATCTGATTTCCTACATTGTTTTTGTTGTTGTTATATGCTGTCGAGTCACTTGTGACTCATAATGACTCTATGTGCCACATTCCTGAGCTCTGCTCTATTCTGTATTAACATTATTGTCTCTGATATACCTATCTCAATTACCCCAGTCACTGAATCAATCCATCTCAGTGAAGGTCTTTCTCTCTTGCGCTGTCCCTTCACCCTTCCAAGCCTGATATCCCTCTCCAAGGACTGGTCCCTCCTTGCAGCATGCCCAAAGTATGTCAGATGGAGTTTCAGAATCCTTGCCTCCATGGAGCAGCCTTGTTTCACCCTCTCCAGGACGAACATGTTTGCTCTACTAGCAGTCCATGGTATATTCAATACTCTTCTCCAGCACCATAGCTCACAGGCATCAGTTCTCCTTCTATTATCCCTAGTCACTGTCCAGCTTTCTGACACATAGCAAGTAATTGCAAAGATCAAGTTCATATAATTTCAATTCTATGACGTAGAAAGAGAAAATCTAAGGCCTCAACATCCACTAGTTTCTAAGAAAAGCCATGCAAAAAAATTAGAGACCTGAATAAATCACAGCACTTGTAGAATCCAATCTTATTATCATTCCTTAATCAGTAGAAAATGACTACATCAAACTAAAACATCAGCTTAAACAGTCACTAAAAATGAAAATAGAAATAGTTGCTGCTGTGTGCCAGGTCCTTGGCAAAGGCTTTATATGCATTTTTTTTCATTAACCTCACAACAACCCCAGGAAGTAAATTATATCACCTCTACTTATAAATTATATTATTGGAATTCCAGGAGATATATGCACATAGGTAGTAGGAGGCAGGCCTAGGACTGGACTTTAGCCCAACTCCAGACCTCATTGTCATTTCTAAAAAACCCTTCTTAATTTAAACATGAGTGACAAAAGTACTCCCAAAGACAAGGACTTTGGCCAAATTCTGACAACTTAGTACTTAACGCCTAGATGAGGGCCTTGTCAAGCTTATTTGCTATAGTATCCTAAACACCTAGCACAGGGAGTGCCATACAGCAAATACATATGTGCTGGCAGGAGGAGAAATAAAAGGAAGACTTCTC